AGTCTTCTACGCAGCTTTCTTCTGCAGTCCGGGTGCATCTTTCGCGCTCTACAAGTGACATGATTCAGTCAGCGCCTTTTCTTCAGGCCATTTTCAACGGTTCGATAGTTTCAGCAATCCGTTTTAACGCGTCCTCGCACTTGATTTCCGATGTCAGCGGTGTGAGCAACGTTAACTTTTCCTTGCCGATGAGCATTGCTGAGGATACGATTTTCCCTTTGATTTCCTCATATTCATTCAACTTGAGCACTTGGGAGCTATACATTTCGTTCTCAGAGCCGATCAATACTGCAACGTTTGATCCCACTCTTGTATGGTGGAAAAGCAACTGCTCCACCAATGTCACTTATAATATGTCAATCGCAACCAGTACGTGGTCCATGGCAGATACGGAGCTGCGCCTCGTCATTGCAAACCCAGACCGATTCTATCTGGTCGAGCAGTATTACACGTCAACTTTGACAAGCTTCTCTTTCGAAGCGTTTGGTCTTGCGGACTCAAGCCTCAATGGAGTCGTGAACCCGGCAGTCTGCCTTCTTCAAGCATCCCATGTTCAAGAGGATATCGTTCCACCTGCGGTCCTTTCGGTTTCGATCAACCTCACGAATGATGTCATGTCGATTGCATTGAACGAAGTTGCAAGCATTGTCAGTGCAATGTCGCCGCTTCACCTCAATGCGTCTTCATCAAATGAGTGGCGCGACTTTTTGATCCAGAGCAATAATACCCGACGTGCAGTTTGTGCTATCCCTGAAAACGAACCGTGCAACGCCCTTTTGGTTGATCTTGCGCCATCGACTCTGGATGAGCTCAAGGTGTCGTTGTTCGAAAATCGAACAATGCTGTCGGCGTTGTTCGGAATCGGCTCGATTCAGGACTTGGCATCAAACGCGCTGAGTTCTCCCATTGTAACCAGTGCGACTGTTGTTATGGAGGACAACGTTGCACCCACATTGGCTACATGGCTCTTAAACTTCACGGACAACTCGTTGCGACTTGTGGCTGACGAACCTATTGCTTGGGTTCGACCAGAGCGACTGCGCATTCGTACTGCTGGTCGTGAGTTGCAAATTTGGAACTCTTCAAACGTGCATCGCGTCGATTGGCGCACTATGGTTGTTTCATTGCACAAAGAGTTTGTGGACATCATGAAAATCAATCTGATTGGACTCAGCGTTGACGATAGCTCCTTCCATATTGAAGCTGGTGCTTTTGCTGACCTGAACGAGAATGAAAATACCCAAGGCAATTTGACCTTTAGTGCCTTGCACCTCGAGCCAGACACCATCAGTCCTCGGGTGATTCGTTATGAACTTAACATGTCCTCAAATCAGGTTCTTCTTGAGTTTGATGAGCCAGTCCGCTCAAGCTCCTTGACGCAACCCATTTGGTTCGAAGCAAAGGGTGGCTTGGCTGTAGCTTATACCGTACTCACCTTGGAAAATAGCACAGTGATTATGTTGCAACTTGCAGAGGATGATCGAAATGAGATGCGGGCTCGCCAGATTGCCCGCAAGCCCGATGAATCAAGCATTGACTTACCGGGAGGATTCGCGACCGACATGGCTGGCAACCCTTTTGAGGAAGCTCGGTGGAACGTAAGCGTCTTTGTTGCTGACTCTGTTCGTCCAGTGGTCACCCGTGTGGTGCTTGACCTGGTGGATGAGTACTGTGACCTCAACGTGACGTTTGATGAGACGGTGAACACGGATGCCGTTGACCCTACTCGCATCAGCTTCCAGCGCTCGGCCACAGCCGACGTTGCAAGTGACATCTTCCTGGTGGGCGGTCAGGTCCTAAGCGCCAACAGCACTGACATTCGTCTGCGGCTGGTCAAGGCAGACTGTGACCGTCTGAAGTTGGACACGACTCGTGGCACCAACGAGAGCACAACGTTTGTGTCATTTGGCAACGGGGCAGTTGTGGATATGGCTCTTTCCCCCAATGCGCTGAGCGCGGTGGTTGAGCAAGCCGCAGTCGTGGCCCCGGATGTCACAGCTCCATACTTGACTGCCTTTATGTTGGACATGAATGCAGGCGTGGTGGTGTTGAACTTCAATGAGCCTGTTAAGAGCGAGAGCATCAACGCGAGCCAGCTCGTGTTCCAGACCGGCGCCACATCGGGTGCCAGCGATCGCTACCGCCTCACGGGGGGAGTGGTTGAGTCTAGCAATGGGCTGCAGCAGACGTTGAATTTGACGCTGACGGACTTGAATGCTCTCAAGGTGCACGAGGGCCTGGCGGTCAGCAACTCGACCACATTTTTGAGCCTGGGCTCTGGCTTTGTGCTGGACATGGCCGACAATGCGGTGACGCCCATCAGCAACGGCCAGGCACGGCAGGTTGACCTTTTTATTGATGACACTTCATTGGTCTCCCTGCAAAGCTTCAATCTTGATATGAGCCGTGGCCGATTGACAATGTTCTTCTCTGAGGTTGTCAACCACCAGTCGGCCAATCTTTCAAGCATCGTTCTGAGCTCAAGTTCTTCCGG